CGAGTGTGTGGCATAGTTTTTGGCAAATTGATAGGTGGGACACGTGATCATCAAATCACCGAACATGTCATACGCGGCCCATTTGACTTGGTCTGGATCACTTTTGTTAATATTGCTCATATAAAATTCCGTAATAGCCGTTGCATTCAATTCGTGAAATAAAAAATCAAAACCCTGAACCATTTGTTTGAATTTGGATTCTGTGAGGTTGTGGGGTATCTCCTGAAGCATACTATATAAAAGACTTGAGCCCTCGTGTGCGGCCACACCTGCCATTAGGTCCAGATCTATGTCCATTAACAAGTGATTTAATGTTGTTTAAAACTAATATTTATAAATGTGTGCAAAAATATGTTTACAATACCCTTGTTAAATTTTTGTGTTTGAAACGCTTTAAGTGCCGACACCGGGAGGTATTCCGTGTCTAGTGTGGCCACAGTCATACCCAATTGGACTTTATTCAAGTCCTCTGCGTCCACTTTCCGCAAACACTCTAACCATTCATTTTCACTACAATTCAAATGTTTTGCCATTTGTTTAGCCTCAGCGAAGGCTTCACTTTTAGTCTTAACATCCCTGTCCTTATTGAACATATGGGCACCACTTTCCATAATAGCCCTCTTAAACAGGCCTTTCGATAAGGGAGAGAATAACTGGGCCGATACGGACCAACCGCCGGCGCTCTGACCAAATATAGTGATCTGATCCCTATCCCCACCAAATTTGTGAATGTTTTCTCTCACCTGTAATTAAATAAAGTTTAATAATTTAATTATATTTAAAATTTCAAGTATTTAATACCCATTTGAGTGCTAATAACTGGTCATAAAATCCTAAATTTCCGGGAGCGGTCTCATCGCCGCCGTATAGGAACCCAAACTTATCTAATCTATAGTTCATGGACACAACCACCACATCATGAGCTGCCAGTGCACTGCCGTTGTATTGCCACTGAAATGATGACCCGAGAGCGAGGGCCCCGCCATGAATCCAAAACATCACTGGTTTTAGTGGTGAGTCTTTTGATGAGGTATTACTCCTAATATGAGGTGTCCATACGTTTAGTACCAAACAGTCTTCACTTAGCGTTAAATTGCCGATAAATTGTTTGACAATATCTGGTAATAATTGATAACATGAGTTCCCGGTTTCCGTTCCGTCTATAATCTCCTTAAAACATATAATAAAATTAATAAATAGTTTTTTGGTTAATATTTATTTTCTTACTTTTATGGGCTCTTTAAGGGGTACGGGTTTAGCAAACCTAAGGCTCCCGACCGGGGGTTCGGCGTAAGGAATGTTCAAAAACTGGTCGACACTTGTGTTCAATGCATTCACTGTCAGACCTCTCACTACACCCGATGTTGTGTTCACATCAACACAAACACTGTATTCAATGAATACAAATAGCAATATACCTGTAAATAAACACATTTTGTCAAATGAAATGTCAAATGAATGCTTAGTAATTGTTAATAAAAATGATCTATCAATGGAAAAGTTACCCTTTATTTATACAGTAAATTATAAACAGGTATATCATTTTGGAGTCAAAGTCTCATAATTGCATTAAAATAAATCAATAAAAAACACTTATCAGTTACTACTGTATGATATCGAGACATCACAACAAGGTTATTATATAAATAACCAAAAGCACTAAATAATTATAACAAGTTGTGTAACAATTGTATAGGAAACGTATGATTAAACAATATTTATCTGATAAACCTAACGCACTATGTTATATAGCAATAATTTAATAGCAGGGTTAGCCTAAATCATTGTGAAAATTAATTTCTCAGACATGTGTGTAAATTATGGAAAGTTTTCCTGGGCAGATAAATATTTTACTATTTGTATTTAATTACGAAATATTACCAAAATTTATAAAGATTATTATTAAGTAACTGTTTTGTTTTATTAAGTAAGTAAAGTGCTAAAAATTTCTGACTACAAATTATAAATGTTTTTGTGTAATTTTCATTGTTTATATAATTTTTATATAAATATTTGGTTAAAGCACCGAAATTTACATCAAGGATAATTTTATGCTTTATTTTAATTAAATTACACAAATTGTACATTATTTTTCCAGCAGTACTTTATAAGTACATATTACTGTAGTTATAAATCACGATTAAAAATTTTAAACAAATTTTAAACAAAAATAATAAGTTTTTAGTATTTTTACATTATTGTATACACAACTATTTAATTTAATCAGCATTTATTTTAATTTAGAAAATTATTATCATAATAGTTTTAAGAAATGTCATGATTACACTACAAAATATGAATTTAAAACGTTTAGTACTTGTAAAGTAAAGTATCTATATAATTTTAAATGTTTAGGAAGTGTTTAAAGTATTTAAATAATTGAATTAATTAAATATATTTAAAATTGCTTTATTTGTTTCACATATGTTTTATTTCATGTATACTGTATGTTATAATTTATATAACTTATAAATATATATAAAAATAAATAAATAGTTTTCGTTTTATTTATTGAAATTATTGAAATTAAAAATGTTAAATTATATTAAATTAAATGTTGTATTAATAGTGAGTGTAATAGTGGTGTGCATTGAGAGGTGTGTTTGCGATGAGAGTAATAGTGTTGTCGTGAATACGAGTTCGGGTGGAGTGAGGGGACAGACACTGAATGTTGTGAATCACAAAATCAATCAATTCTTGAATATACCTTATGCTGAGCCCCCGGTGGGCCCACTCAGGTTCAGTNGTTCGGGTGGAGTGAGGGGACAGACACTGAATGTTGTGAATCACTTCATCAATCAATTCTTGAATATACCTTATGCTGAGCCCCCGGTGGGCCCACGAAGGTTCAGTCCACCACAACCACTCAAAACACCTAAAAATGCAAGTTTTTAAAACGTGTCTCAAAATTATTATTTATGACAAATAATATATGTAAAGTATGAGTAGTTTTTAAAGTTTTTTGAAACACTTTTTGCGTTCAAATGAAATAAAGTTTTGTTTGCAGTCGTGAATTGATTTATAAAACAAAATTAAGTTTTATTTAACTTATTTAAAAAATACAAATAGTATTAAATGAATTGAACATAAAATTATTGACAATCAGTGTCACGAATAGTGCACTCAAAGTGTTTACCAATTATGTGTCCTTTTGTGTGCATTTGTATTGTCTTTAAATACAAAATATTTGGTATTTTTATTGTATTGTCGGTGTATTTGTGTGGGTGCGAGTGCTGGCTATTCTGGTGGTTGACCCCATTCAGGCCTTACATTTGACCACCAGTTCCCATACACTGTTTGCACTGATGTCCATTTCTACTGGACATACATCTAGCATTTATTTATAAATACACGGAATTAGGTTATAAAATTAAAAGCCTTTTGAGTCTGTGTTCACATTTATTTAATTAAAACTACAATAAAAGTTTAGAAATAAGTTTTAAATATATTTCTTAGAAAATGTTTGTATTTTAAATCACATATACTTTACATATAATTTAGGACACTATTGATGGCACAGCTATTGGCAATTCCTGTATCCAATATACGGATCCAATAAATAAAAATATGTCACGATTACCCCAAAGTGAAGATTGCTTGGTAATAAATATATGGGCGCCATATATATTGAATAAAAGTTCAGCAAAATCACAGCTAAAACCTGTTATGTATTGGATATACGGCGGGGCACTTACTGTTGGATCAGTATTTCAAGAGCGATATAATGGCAGTGTTTTGGCCACCAATGATGTGGTCATTGTTTCCGTTAACTATAGGGTCGGACCCTTAGGTTTCCTATACGGTGGCGATCATACCAGTCCTGGAAATGAACCGAAAATACTGGTCAATAATCGAGAATTTACCCATAAGTAAAATTACTTAAATTTTTATAAAAATACAAAAGAATTAATAAAATTATATTTAAACTTACAGTTAATTTCCATAATAAAAAATAATATTAAAAATTTACAGGTGAGAGATAACATCCATGCATTTGGTGGGGATAGGGATCAGATCACTATATTTGGTCACAGCGCCGCGTCAACCAGGTATAGCCGTGTGTATAACAGAGGGGATAGTTTCCCAGACAAATTCTCCCGATAATACGTTTCGCCCCGGGAATACAAATTATCCCTGTCTGGCCACAAGTCATGACAACTCCCGGACCAAAAGGCTAAGGATTTGGCGAAAAAACTAAATTGTGATGAATATGACTACAAATGGTTGGACTGTTTGCGAGCCATTGATGACCCAAACCTTTTCATAGAAAACCCAGAAAATGGGAATACTTTTGCAATCACTCATCCAGTATTTGGCACTGAATTTCTACCTACACTCCCACAAAAGGGGTTTAGAACTGGTTTATATAATACTGGTAATTTAGTATTAATAGTGTATGTCATTATTTGAAAAAAACAAAATAATTTTTTATATCTACCATAAGATGTTGAGCTAATGGCTGGTGTAACGGGTGATGAGGGCTGGCTGTTATCCATTGGTATAATACCTGAAATGCGGACACAAATATCGGTTGAACTGTTTCTGAGAGCTGTCTCTGCAATGAGGACTCAATTTCATAATATAGATCCAAACGAAGTGTCCGATCATTACATCAAAAGTATTAACACAACAAATGTGTCTCAACTGAAGGGTGCGTTGAGCCAACTCTACGGGCATTTATTGGTTACGTGTCCGACCTATCACTTCGCCAAACAATTTGCCAAAAGTGGACAAAATGTCTATTTTTATAGATTTAATTATACATTAAATATGGGAGGGATTGCAGGTAAACCTGGGTTAGTCGACCGGTGCCGTGACACTATATGTCACGGGGCGGACTTGCCGTTCGTGTTTGGACTACCGCTTAGGGATCAACAAATGTTTACGGAAACTGATTATGACTTCAGTATAGATGTAATGAAAATGTGGACTAATTTTGTGAAATATGGGTATTGTATTTGAGTTTAAATATAGAAATTAAAATAATTAAATAATATTTTATTTATCTCATAGCAAACCTCATGAGGAATGGCCACTATTTTTGTCTAATAAATCAAATTCAATGCCAAAAGTGAAAGACTTGAATCCCAACGATATGTCACTTGTTTTGGACAATCCTTATAAAAATACTTGTGATGGAGTTTGGAGTCAATATTTTTAGGAAATTAATTATATTTAAGTAATTAATTAACTATATTAATTATAAGTATTCCATAAAGCTTATCAATATTTTATTATACTACACAACATTGGTTAGATAGACAAATAATTTTATTATAAAACAAACATGGTAGACATTAGATTCTGTTACCTAATTAAATTTAATTCAATTAATTATTTATTTTAAATAAATATGTTATAAATTGTACAAATATTTCAAATATATGCAAAGTTTGCATACCCCATAACATATTATGCTTATTAAAATATATTAAATATCAATTTCAATTACTTCGAAACACAATGTTATTTTTGTAATTAAAACCTTACATTTATCGTATGATTGAGAAAACGGGTGCGGGTCTATTGACCTAAAAACCAATTGACCTAAACTTAAATAACTTAATGACCAGTAGGTAAATATTCCTGATGACCAGTGTAAAATGTTCCCCTTGACCTAACCTAACCTTACCTATCCTTACAATGGTCAAAAGTCTATTGGTCATTAAGTTATTTAAGTTTAGGTCAATTGGTTTTTAGGTCAATNGTAAGGATAGGTAAGGTTAGTTTAGGTCAATTGGTTTTTAGGTCAATTTGCCAGTTCTATTGCTATGCGTGCGCCGAGCGATCACTTCTATGTCCTGTCGACTAAACTCTCGACTTAACCTCTATTTCGGTGAACAAACCGATTAACGGACCGTTAAAAGTAACGACGTTTCCGAGTGGACGGGGTATCCCCGGCTGGTCCTTACCGCTGAGCGGGTCTAACGGCCGGAGGGCTTGCAAATCAAATTCACACCAAAAGGCGTTCATTCAAACAGTTTTTATTACAATTTGTATGAAATACGAAAACAAGACCACAAAAAGCAAAAACATAGAAAGTGATATAATACAGTAGAAAGTGATTAATAAACAGAATAACATTTTAGACTCAATCTTAGGGATTATAATAATTAATAGTCTAATAATAAATACTTGAGTCAAAACTTAATAAATTGGAAATTAACAACAGAAAAATACTAATAATACTCAAATATACGTCAAATTAAAAACTTTATATTAAACATTCATGCGGCAAACTTGGGTTAACCATAATTAAGAGGTTAATATTTAAATACTAATTCCGGTGTTATTTTATAGTTAAAATAATGGGTAAACACAGAAATGTTTTACAATTAAAAGGAATAATATTAATGAATATTTTTAGTTACAAAGCTTTTGAACTATTAAGAAACAGCCATGTGTATAATTAACTCTGGTCATTTTGATTTTCATTTTCATTAAAGCAAGTATTGTGATTCATTGTAGATATGAGCAAAAATGAGTCCACAAAATACTTTTGTTTTTAACATGGATAGTCATTTGAGATGACATTGAAATTGATTCAATTGATGTAATTTGAGCATATAACTTAACTATTATATAAGCATTTGATAAATTAATTTTTGTATTATTAGATTATTAGATTTCATTGATAATATACAGTTATACTTTGGTGATATGTTAAAATGATTTTAACAAATAAATTAGTTTTTCAAATATTCGCCCTTTTAATGGTGTGTTTAATTGTTCGGTGTGTTTGCGATGAGAGTAATAGTGTTGTCGTGAATACGAGTTCGGGTGGAGTGAGGGGACAGACACTGAATGTTGTGAATCACTTCATCAATCAATTCTTGAATATACCTTATGCTGAGCCCCCGGTGGGCCCACGAAGGTTCAGTCCACCACAACCACTCAAAACACCTAAACAGGTATAAATTAAACTTAAAAATTAATTACATTTAAACTTAAATATTTAAATATTAGGTTGTCATCGATGGCACAGTTAAAGGCAACTCATGTATACAACCAAAAGTCGAGGGACTTAAAGATTTTTTATGTGAACTCACCACAACATATGGACACCAAATGTGAACTAATGAATCAAAATCACAACTAAAAGCCGTCATGTTTTGGATATACGCTGGAAGGATGGACTGTGGGCTCAATATTTCAAGACATTTATAACGGAAGTGTTTTGGCCACCAATGATGTGGTCATTGTTTCCGTTAACTATAGACTCGGACCCTTAGGTTTCCTATACGGTGGCGATCATACCAGTCCTGGAAATGTGGGTTTATATGACCAGTTGTTGGGTCTTAAATGGGTATTCAATTCTTTGTTTCTAACCAATCATTTACTTTATTTCTTAATTTTTAATTGATTTGCAGGTCCGAGAAAATATTCATTTATTTGGTGGGGATAGGGATCAGATCACTATATTTGGTGAGAGCGCCGGTAGTTGGTCCGTATTGGCACATATATTGTCGCCGTTATCCAAGGGTCTGTTTAAGAGGGCTGTTATGCAAAGCGTTTTGTATAATAAGAACAGACCGGCGCTCAGTACTGTTGAGGGCCTCCAAAAGGCTAAGGATTTGGCAAAAAGACTTAATTGTGATAAATATGACTACAAATGGTTGGACTGTTTGCGAGCCATTGATGACCCAAACCTTTTCATAGAAAAGTTTAAAAATGGAAATATGATTGAATTCACGCAGTGTTTGGCAATTCACTCAATTCTTACCCGTTTTACCACAAAAAGCATTTAAACCCAATTTAGGTAATTCTGGTAATTGTATGTCTTTTATTGAAATCTATTAAGTCTCATATTACTACTATACTGTAATACTAATATATTTGCACTTATAAATAGTCAATTCAAAACAATTTAAGTAATTAGAGAATTACTATAAATTGAATGTCATTTAAACTTTATATCAATTTTCAGATTTAACATACAATATAAGAACTAATTTATTAACTATTGTCTTAAATATTCATACAACACTGAATTTATAAAATATAATATTAATTTATAAATATAATATTACAGTAAATGTATAATATTTCAAGGAAATGCAAATTCAGATAATGTTACATTAATATTTTATATATATAATTATTGTATAATTTTGTACGTTTTAAACATAACTTTGTATTTATAATAATCATTTCAATCAATCAGATGTAGATTTAATGGTCGGCGCCACCAAAGACGAGGGCCCTGTCCTGGCTGTCAGTTGTGTCCCAGAAATGAGGGCTCATTTAACAGTCGAGTCGTTCATCAGAGCTGTGAATAGACTGAGCGATGAATACCGTAATATAGGTGTAGAGGAAGTGTCCGATTATTATCTCCAAAGTATTGACACAACCAATGAGTCCCAATTGAAGGGAGCGTTGAGTGCACTCTATGGGGATTTGATCACATGTCCGACCTATCACTTCGCCAAACAATTAGCCAAAAGTGGACAAAATGTCTATTTCTATAGATTTCATTTCCAAACTAACATATTTGCAAAATTAGGCTGTATTGGGGACACCATATGTGATGCCGCAGAATTACCATTTGTTTTTGGATTACCCCTTAGATATCAACACATGTTTACGGAAACTGATTACGA